GCCATGGCACTCCACCCAGGGGGATAGCTTGAGGCTCTGTCTCAAAAAAAAAAAAAAAAAAGATTACTGTGGAGAAGGATAGAACAAATTTGGGAAGATGAGTCTTTCATCCCATGAATCGTCTCCTCATTTCTGCAACCCAGTGTTGCCGATTGACCAGAGAAGAGTTCTAGTCCCAGAAATGGTAAAGCAGGATTCTAGGAAACAGAGGATGAGGAAAAGGGGTCAAAGGTATGAATTAGAACTCTGCCTTTGTGGCTCACCCCAGAAATAGCCATTATTCTGCTCTGTTCTTTCAGCATTCTAAGGAGATCTGAAATCAGAGAAATACTGTAAGCAAAATACTGACATAAAACCATCCCTTTTGTCTTTGTTAGTGCAGAAGAAGCTATTTCAGCATGTTCTGTGTGCCTATTTTGATTATGTTATAGAAACTCGTTCCTTATTTTGAAGGAGTCCTAGCAGTTAAAGGTGCTGGATTTGCATAAAAATCTCTTTCTATTTCTGTATGTGCTTGTTCACATGTATTTTGGAATTCACTCAGCAGGGTTTCTGCAGCTCTTCACTTCAAAAGAACTTGACCTCTTAACAAGATTGTGATCTTCTATCCACAGCAGGAGGAACTGAATGTTCCTGGTCTTAGAAAGCTGATGGACAACCTAGGGATGCCATGTGAACATCCTAAATAGAGATTTCACAACAAATACTCTGTAGTAGATACTGGTGATCTGGTCTGGAGGAAGTGGTTAGCAGGGGCATTTAGGGCAGAGACCATTGGGGTTGTTAAGAAATATGGATCATTGTCTGTCCAAAAGGTACAGAGCTGCTTCTCTATTCACCTACATTTCTGGGGGATACCTTCATCAAAGGGAAATGCAAAGTACACATGTAACTGAGGCACTTTTGTACCCCATGAGAAAAATACTGTTTGTGCAAATTTAAGTCAATTCCTAGACTCCTTCAGAGATCCTAAGCAGGGTCTTAATATAACGAAACCAACATCATGGAATAAGTGCAGTTAGAATAATTTAATTTACAAGATCTTGTAGTTTTAGGTGAATACTCTTCTATAATATCATTTCTTTGGCTCCAGAAAAATCTCAGAAGTAGGGAGGGGCAAGAAGCAAGATAGCTCTGCCTGGAATGAAGAAGTGAACTGTTGGAGAAAGCCACTGGTGAAGGGACTTGCAGACTGAACAAGGGAGTTTGGGCATTTGTGTAGCAGGAGCCTCTCCCTTCCCATCTTCCTACTGCCAGGTTTCTCCTGCACCATGATTTCCTAGGTGGGGCCACTGACTAGGACAGCCCTTTCAGAAATGTCCCTGTGAAGGCAAGTCTAGCTGGGGTGTTGGGTGGTGTGGAGAGAACTCAATAGTTCTTTCTTTTTTTTTTTTTT